GAGAGAAAGAGAGGGTTAGAGATAGAGATAAATCCTTCTTGACAAGCAAAAAAAAAAGGGAACAGAACCAAATCTCACAGATTGATCCCACCGTGTCATGTCAATCTGTGATAGTAAAGGGGAACGGCTTAGATTAATGGGAATGACCTTTCAAGACAAGAAAGGAACAACGAGTGACGCGTGTTAAGGAAACTAAATGCTAATCGCTAAGGCACGATCTTAACAGAAATTAGATAGAGAAAGAGGATGAGAGAGAGAGAGAGAGAGAGAGAGCAAGTAACACGATATAGATCTCGGGCTCGTTTTTAACAATGTTAGAACTTGATATCGTTAGTTTAGATATCGCGTGCGTAAAACTCGAAACACGTTAGTTACGAGAAGGAAGCGCATACTTCAAGCTCTCATTGGATAGCGCAAAAGTAAGTGGTAGAAGCTTAGTTGAAATGAAAGAGAAAGAAGGAAGAAAGAAAAAGTAAAAAAAAAAAAAAAAGCTATAGGTATATAAGAATACTACGAATGCGGGAGTCCTGAAACGATAACGAACCCTTCTTCCACTCGGCAAAGTTCCGCGCGATTCGAAGAGAGGTTAAAAGGGTAGGAATTGTGGGAGGGGGTGGGGAAGGAGTTGGATGGAAAAGCGTGGCCGGATAACTCGGCAGCAGGGATTGGTTCGTTAATGTTATCGGTGGCTCGCGTGATGTGGAACATAAAGCATCGTACCTTCTTGAATTTCGTTCCCTTTGTGCGCTTGGGAATTTATGTTACTCCAATCCTGTCGCACACACCACACGGGGGCACTAAAGTAAGAGAGAAAACTGAGAGAACTAAAGGAGGATGAGAGGAGGAGGTGGAGGGTAGTTGTGAAGGTGGAGAACGGTAAAGAATAGGAGAGGGAGGATTTTGCGATAATACTTTAGAAAGCTAGCTAGCTAGTTACTCTCTTTGCTTCGTTTACTTTTATAACAAAGATTTTTCTTCGAGATCTGTAATTTAACAGAAAATAAAAGGAAATAGATAGAGAAAGAGAAAGAGAGAGAGATAACCTGTGTGTATTGAATTAGCTAATAAGCTAAATTTATCTCTAGAAACTTTCAGTATTTTATATATTTTTTATTTATTTTATTTATAACTTAATAAATAGTAATAGTGTTTTTTTTTGTACTTATTGACCGATCCAATTATGAACTTCAATTCCTCTAATAAATTTATTATTTTCTTTTTAGATTTAAATAAATAATACTAATATTTTTTACTTATTTATCAAGCCAATATTAATGTATTTTCCTCTCTGTTATTTAAATTAATTAAGATATATTTATTAGTATTTTTTACTTATTAATCATCCCAATATTACTGCACTCTTTCTCTCTCTTTCTTCCTATAGTTCACCAAAAGATTTATGATTTTTTTTATATTGAAATAAATAATACCATTATTTTTTACTCACCACGACCAATCCAATATTAATGTACTTTATTTTAGTATACAATTTTATATTTAAACAATAATATTACTATTTTGTACGTATTAAACCAATATTTAATATTAATGAAGACATTCTCTCTACCTACCTCTGTCAGAATCTTTCAATTTACGATTCACTGAGAGATTAAGTAGATTAACATCAAAGGACGAATATGACGATACGGTTAACTCACGAATGGTAACCTCAAGGGGTAGACAGGACTTGTCATATTTTCGATGAAATTCCATTAAACCGTATGCGGTCCCCTGTGAAACGCAGCGTGCCGTTACTAGCTGTTGCTGTTACTGATACTGCTGTTACTGTTGCATCGGTTGCTAGTCGTTCTTCTACAGAGTACCTACATGAGTCGTTAGTGCTCACACGATGAACTGTTCTCTCTCTTTCTCTCTCCCTTCTGTCCATTTACGGTGGTTAGCAGCACCACCACTAGGCAGTTCACTCGCGCGAACCATTAGCACCTCGTGAGTTACGGTTTTGCCTCGGTATAAAGGTCTTTCTCATTCTCTCTTTCTCTTGCTTGCTTGCTTGCTTACTTGCTTGCTTGCTTGCTTGCTCACTTGCTTGCTCGTACAACCATACACTTTCTCTTTCGTGTGTGTATGTGTTACCCAAAGAGACGACGACCCTTGGAATCTCTTTCTCTTTCTCTTTCTCTCTCTTTTCGTACTCCATCTTCTCCTGCTCTCGTGTATCGCTCTCTCGTGCCTTGTATATTAATTATTTCAGACGGAAAAGGGTAGCAAGGTGGTGCCACTACCATCACCACCACCACTATCACCAATACTAACACTAACAACAACAACACCATTGCCCCTGGGCTTCCCCCTTGGGAGATAGAGAAAGCATGACGAGGGTGAGGGGGAAGGGAAATTGCATAGATACCGCGGGAAATTACATTGACCCAGATTTTCTCACTCAATCTGTCTTTTCTACTATTTTCTAACGACTTTTTCCTCTTTTTTTTAATTTTCTATTAAAACTCTTCACACTCTTGGCCACATATGTGGACGCTTAGTTTTTTATAATTATAGTTAATGTCAATAATAAATAGAAGGAAAAATTTGATAGATCAAACGTTTTTAAACATTTTGGTTTTGAGGTTAAGAACGAGATTTTACTACATCTTTTGTAATACATCACATTACTCATTATTCAATCGTTTTCGTACGAGACTAGAACGAATTAAAGGTTTAGTTAAAATATTTTTGTTTGCAAGAGAAAGTGATTTAAGAAAAAAGAAACCAAGAACCAAAAAATGACGGGAAATTTGAAATAGCTCGTAAATATGGTCGCGCTTTCTTTGAACTTTGTACCAACAACGATATCGCATTACGTTTCTACAACGAAATAAAGAATGAGAGAAAGAGAAAACTTTCGCGTATGTACTTCTTTGACCATATCTCGTTGACTCTTTCGGCGTCGGAATAGCAAGTTAAAAGTATTTCGTGGTTAACCCTTGGGACGTTATGAATTGCACTTAAGGAAGGACCTCGACCCATAGATTAACCTCCGTTTCAATTAATCACCCGGTATACTGACGGAACACGATCCATCTCTTTTTCTCATTCATATACACACACACACATATATATATATATATACACGTATACATTTTCTATCAGAAAAGGAACAAAAAAGAAACAATTGTCCTTAGAAATACGATTACTGTTTGTCGATAATAAAAACGAACGTTTCATTCCGCGTCCTTAATAATTGGTTCTGTTCTTTCGTTCCCTTCGTACAAATCGCCCACGATACTTAAATCGAATAGAAACCGAAGTAGCTCTTTATCGTTTAAAATTAATGAGTTAATTGCTTATGTGCCGGATATTACTCGTTTCGAACGAACCACTTTTTTCTTTTTTTTTTTTTTTTTTCATTTAAACAAACTCTTACTTAATCGGTATTATGAAAAGTTTATAGAAAATTTTATTTCGTATTTAAATGTTAATACAATGATCAGGTAATTTATTGTCTACCTTACCTTATTATACCTTACCACACCTTATACGTACATTCTTTCGACCATCTGGAAACCACAAGGAAGATAATTTAACAACACACTGAGAAGGATTTAACGATAATTTACGTAGTGATATAAGCAAGTGTCTTTATGCAGTATACGCAAACCTGCTCGTCGTCGTCGTCGTCGTCGTCGTCGTCGTCGTCGTCGTCGTCGTCGTCGTCNGTCGTCGTCGTCGTCGTCGTCGTCGTCGTCGTCGTCGTCGTTGTCGTTGTCGTTGTCGTTGGACGTTCCTTGTTCTATCTCATTTAAAGTGGTGGTGGTGGTAATGGTGGTGAGATGTTATTGCTAGGGTAGTTTAGTATGCGGTACGTAAACGTTTGCGTATGCTCAAAGAGCAACGACAATACCCCTTGTTTACAGTTTAGTTAATGTACATGCATGGTAAAAGTACATTAATATATCATTTATATAACGTTTTATTTATATAAAAGCATTTATATATGATAAGAAAGGAATTAAATGATATTAATTATAATTTATACAAGTTTATTTATTATGAAAATTGTGATGAATTATTGCTATCTTTTAAATAAAATTATTGATAGAGAACAAAATTATATGACATAATAAGTTCTAAATTTCTATGAACTTTTTTTAAACATGAATCACAAATACACCCCTACCAAGTGCAATTGCACTTTATTCTTTAATATAACCCAAGGTTATCAAAATGTGAATATTTTACGAGATATTTAACAAATTGAATGACATTAAAAAATGAAATTACCATCAATACAATTGTCATTTATTATTTATTTGTATTTTTGTTTTTGATTTGAAGATGAGTAGTAGTAATTCGTATTAGTTTCCAAAATTAGCCTATATCTGTCTCTCTCTCTCTCTCTCTCTCTCTCTCTCTCTCTCTCTCTCTCTCTCTGTTTTTGTCTTCGTTAACAAAAGGAAAGTTATAAGGGATGATACTTCGGTAAGGATAATGCTGGAGATATTCGCCATAACATACATATATCAATCTCAGCTGGATTAAGCCTGGAGCTCAGGAGCTGCTTAAGTCCGGCGTATCCATTAAACTCTCGTCAGGAGGCGCCTAGTACGTGACACGACGGTGGTCTTAAGCAAGTTTGATGAAACTTTTCCGCGTCGTGGAAGGAAAGGTGAATAACGTGTCAGGAGGAACAGAAAAAGAGAGAGAAAGAGAGTGGAAAACAGTCGAGCCCAAAGGGTCGACGCACTCTTCTTCTCGAGTAAAAATACTATCTCTGGGTACACACTATATATATATATATATAAATTATAAATTATCCCTTATATATTACATTACATATATAATGTAATATATGTGTAAGTGTATGTTTAAGTGTGGGTTTATTTATATATATATATAAAAAATAAAGTGTTGCATTTAAGTTTCATCTTTTACCCGGTTATTTTTTTTATAAGAAAATTTTTTTCATTCTAAACGATGTGACTAATGAATAGGATTATTTTATTTAACCTTTTAATATATATATTTTTTTCTTTGTGTTTTAGCTCTCAGAGCTCGAGCAGCGTGTCTTGGAGGCCGAGGGCAGAGCCGATGAAGCGGAAGATAAGGTAATACTAAGAATAAAAAAGTATAATATATATATATATATAAAAAAAAGGAGAGAAAGAAAGAAAGGATTTGTTGAGATTCGTGTCGTTCATTGATAGGAGATATATATATATAAAACCGTTTGGAAGAGTTTGCGAGAGAAATCGTTCGAGTTGGATGAACACGAGTAAACATTGGGGGTTTGGTCGGGGTTAGAACCGAGAAACGAGTGGATTTAATCGGGTGTAGAAAAATTTGTTGAGAGAGAGTGTTTCTCACGATGAATCTCTCTTGCGTGAAGTAGTGACAGACTGCTCGAGAACAATCGACCGTAAAAAGACATTCAAGTGGCTGCTACTATTTTATTTCTTTCTTTTTATTCTTTCTATCTTTTTCCGTAACCATAAATAACATATAGTATTAAATGTCAGTTACAACTAGTACGAGTTAACTCGGAAAATTACTTACGACATTTTTTCACTTGGCTAACTTGCTCTCTTTCTTTCTCAAACGATTTGTTTGAAAATAATTACTGAATTTTATCCCGAGAAAAATATACGAGCGTAAATATAAATAATTCATCGCAAAAACTAGCAGTTCCCATTTTACGTTCTTTCTATTTTATTCTTTTCTCTTCTCTTTATATTATTCTTATTCTGAATTATTATATTTTCATTTTTTCTATCTCGTTGAACTTTTATTATTCGTTTGTTCTTCTCTTTCCAATCTTTAGATTTGTTTGATCCTTTTTCATTCGTACTAATACTGAATCCAATATCGTTTAATCGTATAACAAACATTTCTTGTCAACATCGGAATTATGTCACAAGTGGAATTAAATGTCTGTTAGACCACTCGTGGAAATCTAACAAATGTATATGTGTATGTATGTGAGAGAGTTTTCTTGATCATTGGAAATATTTGTTCGTAAGTTCGATACCATCCTGTATTACCGACGTGAACTTTCAATCTASTTCGAGCTTTTATACCCACCCACCCTATTCCACCCTCAATTTCTTTTTCTATCTGTCCCTTTCTCTCTGTTTCTCTTTCTTTTCGATTTCATCGATTTGTACTTGGTTCCCAAGTTATTACCTCCATACAGTCACTAACCATTCTTACCGACTGATCCAAATTCTCTTCTACCAATAGAAAAATATCACCTCCAACAAAATTAGAACTTACCAACAGACGGCAACTTATCACACTCGGGTTATTTAGTTTCCTAATTTATTTCTACCGATCTAGTTTCCAATTTCCGATATTGAAGAGAACTACCTTATCGACAATACTTTGCATCGATTTTTGAACAGGTATTTTTTTTATTACTTTATCATTTTATATATATATATATATATATAAAACACAATAAGTTTATTATAAAGCGTGATAATCGTTTCAATCGTAATCAATAATAGATGTCACATTTATTATCAAATACGAAAGAAAGTTAAGAAAAATATGGTAAAATAAGAAAATAAACAATAAGAAAGAACAATAATTTAATTAAATAAAAAAAGTAATAATCAAAATATAATGCGTGCACATATGGAGAACGTGTTCATGCTTAAATTAGTATCATATTAAAAATCATATTAAAAATCGCGCGTAAAATAATACGTTCGTTAGTTTCCATTGAATTAATTCATAATAGTAATAATAATAATAGTAATGTAGTAATAGTAGTAGTAGTAATAGTAGTAGTAGTAGTAGTAGTAGTAGTAGTAGTAGTAGTAGTAGTAGTAGTAGTAGTAGTAATAGTATCGTATCGTATCGGTCGGTACTCTCGCGGGTAAATTCTGTGTCAGGCAGGGCGCATGTTAGGCTGGCATTGATTTTTGTCTCTCTTGCCGTCTCTCTTGGAACGAAAGAAAGAGAGAAGGAAGAGAGCAAGAGAGAGAGAGAGAGAGAGTACGAGAGAAACACGAGAGAAGCACGAAGAGAAAGAGAAAGAGAAAGAGAGGAGAGTAAGATGGCCGACGAAGCGGCCGACGAGACCGCCGTTTTGTTATGACCTCGAAATTCCGTCTAAGATTCGCGAACCCCACGGTCACGTGTGTTAATCTTCGATAAGGTTGTTCATCATCATCATTTTCTTTTTTTTTTTTCTAACGATCCTATCGATCTTTATTAACTATAATAACAAATTTACAAAATCAATTTTTTGTTCGGTGAAAAATTTGATCGTGAAAGTATCTTTATTTAAACGATCCAAGAGTTAGTTGACCACCTCGACAAATTATGGATACTAGCAGGTGACACTGATGAAAGGTAAAAAAAAAAAATCATGAAATTGTAATATCAACGATATATACGAGCTTTTTTAATGCTACACCGTTTTATTTTTAAAAAAAGTAAAATGCTTTTCACTCGTCTTATCTTTTTTTGCAAACTACGTACACACACATACGCGTATACGTGTATATACTGATGATATATATATATATATATGTACGTATGCACTTGCACGAAGAAAGTGAGAGAGAGGAAGAATGATTTTTTTTTTTTCAATCACTTGTGTTCTTCCTACTCGTTAAACCATTTATAAAAAGTTCTTCATCGAATTCGTTAACTCATCCAAATTAAAGGAGAGAGAGAGAGAGAGAGAGAGAGAGAGAGAGAGAGAGAGAGAGAAAATTCTGGTCATATAGTCGCTCCAATTTCCCCTGTCTTTCGTGATTCACTACTCGTGATTCACAATACTCTGAATACGTTTATAAGCTTCTCTTAAGTTACATACACACACATACATAAGCACTCTGTGTACTCTTGATAAACTTTAAAAAAGAGATTCTTTTGATATGTCAGATATTATCTTAATTAGAGTACATTAGCCACTTGTGTTATTATTATTCTCCTCTTCGTACTGTACGTTGTAACATCTTACGTTTCTTTCATAATTAGTATCCCCTTTTCTTGTCTTTTATCATCTTAACTAATTTGAAATTATTCAAAGATACATTTATGCAACGAGATACTCATTAATCTAATTGCTAGATAAATTTGATTTTCAATTAAAGAATAAATCGATCGAACTTATTGAATATTATAAAATAATATCGAAGTTTAAAAATGAAATCAATTATATTCGTAGTCTGTAAATGGTTCATTTTAAATGTACGTATCTAAATATATATATATATATATATATATATATAAAATAAAAATACATTTTTAAGAAGAAAAAGAATAGCAAGGAAAATATCAACCCACGTTGAAATAAACGTCCTTTTGTCCCGTGTCGATCAGGGTGGCGTCGCACAGGAAAGACAACGAAACTAAAAAGAAATTGTAATAAAAAAACTAAAAAAAAAAAAAACTTTGAAAAGAATAGCATTTAAGAGGCAATTTTACGTATATAGTAGTATACGTCGCGTCTGTTGGTACTTTAACGACGGCGAGTCAGTCAGAGTCGACTTTTTGACGCGACGGACGCGACTTTTTAGAAGAATTGGCAAAGATCCAATTCCGTGAGTAATCCTGCACTTCCCGTGAGTGAGCACCCGCGCACAACAAACAAAATAAATCATCCCATATGAACCCAGAGACGTTTAGGCTTTATTTTCTCTTTTTCCCCTTTTTTCCCTTATTTTTTTTTTTTTCTTACTCGTTGCAGTAATGGGGTTGTGTGTTATTAGTATTAGTAAAAAGCTACCATGGTAAATAGAATAGTAGTAGTAGTAGTAGTAGTAGTAGTAGTAATAGAAGGTTCTCGAGGTTCTCTCTTTAAATATTTCAGTGCGACGCCGACTCCTCATCGACTTTCAAACCCCCTCACTCTTTATCCACAACGATTTCTTTTTCTTTCTATTCGTACAATTGAAAAATAATTCAACGTTATTTTTATACGTCTATTGAATTATATTAACAATATCGGGACAATTGAATATTTTAAATAATGTCTGAACATTTTGACACGATTTCATTGTAAATAAAAAGTAACTTTCTTATTAACTTGTTCAACATCACTTTGTTTATGTTCGACAAGCTTTATTTTACGATTGTAAAGTAAGAGTAAGAGAGAAGGGTGATTTAGTCGCGTGCACGAACCACGTGGACTAGAGAAAGAGAAAGAGAGAGAGAGAGTGGGGGGAAAAAGGGTATTCACAGATTGATACTGGTGATAGTTGATGATGTATACATCGAATTATTTTCAATCATACTTCTTTTAATTTACTTTAAAGTTTTCTCCAATTCATTTCATTCGTTCTTTCTACTTTAAAGTATGCATGTAATCACCATCTTTGTCTCTGTTTGTCTCATTAATTTCTTCCCTTCTTGTAATCATCGTAGAGTCGTCTCCCACGCAAGTCTACTACATGGCTTCACCATGGATAGAACAAATCGATAAATCTCAAGGCAGCTTCCGTAGCTTGCAGTATCTCCAACCGTCCTTCCTTCCTTCCTTCCTACCAACTAACCCCCTCCTCCTCCCACATCATGCCTTACCTCAGAAGACTCCTGTTCTTTTCGATCAAATAGAAAAAAAGGGTTCGATGTTATCAACGTTAAAAAGAGTGTATATAATCTTGACAATGATTATTCGACGATGTTTTCTCTTTAAGATGTTATCGTTTAACACGAGTAGGTCAGTGACATGTCCAATCAACGTCGTCCTTGACTTTCATCGAAGCTCTTGCATTTGAACGTGATTGGCTACGACTGGGGACTATAGTCGTCGAACAAAATAAGAAACGCGCATGCATGCATTTAGGTCTTGTCTCCGTTAAAGATAAAAAAAAGACAGAGAAAGAGAGAAAAATGACGACTTTGGCTCCTACCACCCTCCACCCTCTCCCAACCCCTTGATTCTCTTTCTCCTATCTTTTTCCTTTTTGTCTCTTTCTTTCTCAGGGTCATCGTCTCGTCACAGGATGATGGTGTGTGCGCCGCGTGTGTATGCATATACGGCTCCTACGGTATCACCATCGATTCTCCCATTGGCCAGAAGCCAACGTGACTCACCGCCTCTAGGAAACCCCCGCGGTTTATGTACTTCGAGTTCGTTCAGTTTGCTTCGATCTCGAAACCAGCACGGTTCTATTCTTCTTCTCCTTCTTCTTATTCTTCATCAGCATCAGCATCATTTTCATCTTCTTTGTCTTCGTTGTTTATTGTTATCTTTCTTTCATTCAAATCATTATTGTTCATTGAAAAGTAGTGATCGATGTATACGGTTAAAACAACATTTTAAATTGTATTGTGCGTTTTATATTTACAAATGAAATTTAAGAAGCAGAATTAAGAACTAGGATCGATCAGAGTTACCATGGCTCCACAAAATTTGGGTAAGGCTTTTAGACCCATGTTTGAGAGGATTCGTTTTAATAATACCTTCTCGAACGATTAATCGAAGGGAAATACGACGAGATTGGGGTGTAGAAACGAAAAGAGAGAAAGATGAACAACGCTTGGGGTTGGCCTATCCTTCCTTCCATCCCTCTTTGTATCTCTATCTTTATCTCTCTCTCTCTCTCTCTCTCTCTCTCTCTCTCTCTCTCTCTCTCTCTAAAATGAAAAGGGGTTGCAAAACGTTCGTGGGAAACGAGACAGGACTTGGTACTCTCATCGTTTCTCTCCTTTTTTTATCATTAGTCCTCACATTCGAGGGTACTCGAGAAACTAAGTGTGAACTTGAAAGGGTTCCTACGATCTATAAAGAAATACCTTTTTCCGTTGTTTTTAAAATATAACATAAGAAAAACAATGTTTATATCGATCTTCTATTCCGCGTGTATACTTTCTGAAATATTTTTCACGGATAAAAAGATGGATCAAAGAAAAAGAAATGAAATATCGATATGAGAATGAACACATGCAGGAAATGAGAGAAAAACATTCATCGTTCTGAGGATTTTAACGTGAGCGTATTGATTTTCTCGATAGATATATACATATATATATATACTCCCCTTGTGCTACTAGTGGACGCAACTCTGTCGCTGTTCTGCGTCGGTTTACGTCGAGCGTTAAGGCGATATCGATTTTTGACAGCTGCTACGGAACCGAAAAGCACGTTTAGAAAAGGGGTGCACGAGGGTAGCACGCAAAGACACACATACACAGACACACTACCCGCACGCGGTGGTAGCAGCCCTTCGATGAGTACTAACGCGGGAGTGTGCGTTAAACACGCGTTCATCATCTTTTTCATTTGTTTGTTTTTTTTCTTTCGTTAATTCTCTCTTTTATCTTTCTTGGTCGTTTCAACAATTGTGAAATTGATTAAACAAATAGATTTGTTAAGTAATTAGATAAAGAAAAGAGAAACATGACAATTGTATTTCTAAGGTACGGATGATGGAGGAGCGGCTGGTGAAGGGTGAATATTGCCTAAGCACATCCGGCGTTGGTTCTCCGCCTCATTCGTTGCCGTCAACTTCCGGCACACAGAATGAAAAGCTCGAGGACGTCCGTTGTGCTTGCATCTCGAAATTAGAAACCCAAGTCGAAGAACAGGTGAGTAATCATTTTTTCATCAAATTATCGTTATTCATATCGATAAATAAGTATTATACATATATACTTTATCGTCAATTCCTTCTACGAAACTTGATAAGACCTTATCGTACTTATCATATACCTTTTCCTCTTCGATCGTTCTTAGAGACAATTAAGACTGCAAGATGCGAGACAAGTCGAGGCGAAAGCCGCAAGAATAAAGGAATGGGTTACAAATAAGCTACGTGAACTCGAACAACAGAATCAACATTTGAGGGAACAGAATAATAAGTGCAATCAACAACTGGAATTATTACGTAATCATATAACAAATATCGGTTTGAAACCACCTGTGAGTAATATAACGATGATAAACAAAATATATTTTGTTCAATGATTTAAATCATGAACGATTTTGTTCTTGTTCATAGGCACCAACGAGAGCATCCCTTTCTTTGGAAGTAGATCCAACGTTGCGTAGACGATCGGAAAGTTTAGAAGGAACACCTCAAACCGTACCGGAAAACGTTCAAAGTTCCGTAGCCGAGCCACAGACCGGTAGCAAGCACAGAAGACATCTTTCCGCGTGTGGAACCATTCAACGTGGAATACCAACCACCAATATGGATTCGAGGTAGAGTAACCTCTCATCTTAATTTAATTAGAAACCGATTTTAATGACTTTCCTTTTTTTACTTTTCCTACTATGTATCATCCATATTATCCGTTCTTAATAGATCATCAGATTTTTGCCAATCTAATCATTTTTGAATTCGCCGTTGATCAAACGTATCCCGATTCTCCTTGGGAGGTCTCACGACGTAATAGCGGCGCCCGACTTTCCGAACCGTGGTACCCTGTAACGTCCTGGGACTTCCTGCGGGGATCTCTCGACTTGTGTCATTTTCGAAACCTTGCTTCTGTTTGTTCATTTTTTCTGTTCTATTCTTCTGTCGAACGAAAATCTATTTTATCGAACCGATGATACATCACGCTAAAAATTCACGCGCGTGCACTTGACTTTTCTTACTTTTTTTTCTATGATCATCAGACAAATAATCTGTTCTCTATTTCTGATGTTTTCTTTTTTATTTTTTATTTAATTTAAGTTCCTTCTTTTTGTATTTTTCTTTTTTTCGTTAAAATTGTTCTATTCTTGTTACTCGTCCATTTTTCTTTTCAACAGCTTACTCTCCGAGGAACTGGCGGCAGCCGTGGAAAATTTGGTGATGCTGCCCAATATACCAGGTGTTTCCGAGACCAGTCGAGACAGTGGTAGCTCTGAGGCTGTGCACGATTACGCGGAGATTTATACGCCAAGTAGAGAAGGAATGAATTGGGGACAGAACAGTGGACAAGGTCCCAGACCACCTACACCGCCTCTTCATAGATTTCCCAGTTGGGAAGCAAAGATATATCAGGTAACGTCTCGTACCAGACTTCTATGTTTCTTCGCGTATTTTTCAACTTTGTAGATGGAGTTGAGAAACTTTGTCTCTTAAATTATATTTCTTTCTTTCTTTCTATTTTCTGTTATACACAATCGTACATCCTTTTCGTAGGTGGCAGACGGTGGCCTTGGCATCGGTCCACCAACGAACGAAGAATCGGCACCATCTTCGATGACTAACACAACCAGTTCATCAAAACATTCTCAAGCAACTGGACATAATTTAACGGCACATAATTCTCAAGGTTATTGCGATATATCGGTTCCGGTATATGCTACTGTTAAAGGTAAATATACTTATTCCATTAAATGAAACTATAATTTTATAATCGATACTAGTAAGTTGTTCCGATTTGTTTTCTAGGACGTGCTAGCCAAATCAGATCAATGCCGTTTGGTGACAGTTCCGATGACAGTTCGGACGGTGAAGAACATCCAAATCAAACAGAAACCAATACTAGAATTACCAATAGTTCTTCAGATAATACAGATTCTTCTCTCGGTAGTGGTAGTAGTCCTTCGAAGAGCGTGAAAACTACTAGCAGTTTAAGTCCAGCAAAAAGAAGCTCCAGTGGTTCTCCCAGCAAAAGCGTAAAACGTGGTTAGTTTCTAGATAATGAACTTTACTATTTGTTTGTCCTAGTTAGTTTTGTTATTCGTTGAAAAGTATCGAAGAACTCCCGGCAACTTTGAAATTCTACTTTTCACAGATACCTCACTTGAATCTGGCTTGTCAGAAGATTATGCCATACCACCTGACGCATTGAGCTCGACGTCTCTCGAGTCAAGCATGCCCAGTCTTTTGATGCGAGTTTCCGGTGAAAGTCCTAAGAAACAGGAATCTTTAGAAAAGACTGGACACTTGGCGAAACTTGGTGGAAAGTTGAAAACTTGGCGTAAGAGATGGTTCGTTTTAAAGAACGGAGTGCTAACTTATTGGAAAAGTCAAAACGACGTCAATAGAAAACCTCAGGGTCAAATTGTTTTGGACGAAGTTTGCAGGTAAATATGATCAAATAAATTTTATTAATGTTATTTGTATTATTTTATTATCAAAATGTTTAACAAATTTTTGTTTCTTTATTTGCCAGGATAAATAGGGCGGAAGGTGCTGCTACGTTTGAAATTTCTACCGGCAAGAAGACCTACTATCTAACTGCGGATTGCATTGCAACGATGGAAGATTGGATTAGAGTTCTACAGAATGTACAAAGGCGGAATGCAACTAAATTACTTCTCAGTAAGGAAGACAACAAACCTACGATACAGGGCTGGTTGACTAAAGTCAAAAATGGCCACGCCAAGAAGTGTTGGTGCGTTCTTATTGGAAAAATGTTCCTGTATTTTAAGTGCCCAAATGATACGGTAAGTGTGCATATATATATATCAATGATAACATATTGAACGATGGGATATTATAAGTATATTATGTTTTCTAGAATCCTATCGGTCAGATAAATATGAGAGACGCCAGAGTGGAGGAAGTGGAACACGTGTCAGACAGCGATAGTGAGGAAAGAGACGCTGAGTGTCCTCATGAAAGAACAATTGGAATCTTTCCAACGCATCAAGGTCCTACGTATCTGTTAATGCCTCACAAACAGGATAAAGACAATTGGTTATACCATTTGACGGTTGTCTCGGGTGGTGGACCAAGCGCGGGAACTCAATACGAACAGTTGGTGCAAAGGTTAATGGAAACTGATGGTGATCCTAGCTGTGTACTCTGGAGACATCCTCTTTTACTACATACGAAGGAAAATATTACCAGTCCGTTAACTAGTTTAACATCTGAAGCCTTGCAAACAGAAGCTATTAAACTTTTTAAGGTTAGTGCTAGCAAAAATCCAAGTGTATCATATTTTGATACACAACATTATTAAAATTGTATTGTTCAATAGGCTTGTCAGCTGTTTATGTCGGTTGCGGTAGAACAAGCAGGCATTGATTACCACGTGGTCCTGGCACAAAATGCGTTACAGCAATGCCTAGATCAGCCTGAACTTCAATCGGAATTTATATGCGCATTGGTAAAGCAGACAAGTCGTCACACACAACACCGTTTGGGCGTACAGGTAAAAAAGGCCGCCAGACTTGTGTCGCTGGGTACTGCGCGCGTTGTAAGTCCTGCTTATTGTTTAACAAACACTCTTTGCCCTGTACCATTTTTTCAAATTGTCTGAATCGTGCGAAATATCGTACGAATTATACATATATATGTTAACTCGTCTCGTACGAGTAGCTTTTGTACTGTAAACCAAAAAAAAAAAGAAAATATTCTGCATCGTGATACACGTCTAACGTTTAATGTGCTTCTGTGTGAGAAGAATAAATAAGAAAAAAATGGTACATTGGGTACGCTTAGTCAAGTATTATACGTAATCATTCAATTCATATAAGCGAGATATTAAAATAATTAATTTTTTTTTTATATTTTTTTATATTGTCTATCTCTTACATTAGAAGAACTAACTTTATTACTCGATTAACCATCGTAGAACCATGCGTTTTTTCTCTCTCTTTCTCTTTCTCTCTTTCTCTCTTTCTCGCCAATAATACTTGACGAAGTTTAACAAAAGGAAAAAAAAAGAAAAAAAAAATTAAAAAAAAAAAAAAAAAGAATTTTAGTTTTAACAATTCATTCATATTTCATTTTCATTTGCCGCTTTGAGTGTGCTGCTCCTAGGCTCTTTTATATATTATTATATATATTATATATTATATATTNTTTGCCGCTTTGAGTGTGCTGCTCCTAGGCTCTTTTATATATTATTATATATATTATATATTATATATTATATATATATATATATATATATATTTCTCAACTGCATGCGTTTGTTTTTTCTCTTCTGGACATATTATTAATTTATAATAAGTTTTTTGGTTTGTTGACTATATTTTTTTTCCAATTTTTTTTTTTCATTTTTACTATACAAATCGTACTTTTTAATATTTATACATCATACCCGATCACCTCACCCAACCTTACGCCCTTCATGTGAGCCGAACATATTTCGACAATTTTCTCATCGTGCAAACGCCATAATTTTTCTTTTCCATTATTAATCATCGATCGCATTTCTCTTTCTATTTTTTTGTCAATATCATAAATATATTTTGATAAAAACAAAAAAAGCGTTTCGCATCCTATATTATATAAATATTTATATAGTATATCAAAATAGTTGTCAAAATACGTTCTGCGGCACACACACTTGCAGAATGGTATGTTGGTGTACATAAGAACCACACACAGAAAAACATCTTTTTTAGATTGTTGTTTTGTTTTATTTTTCTCTCTATCTCAAACGATTCTTTTATTTATTGTTCTGCAATAGCTCATATTTTCAAATATTTTCTCTGTTTGAATGCTGCTTAGAGAATTAGATCTTGATCGCTCGTATAAACAAATCAATCAATCAATCAAACAAACAAACCAACCAACAAATGAACAGACAAACAAAACAAACAAACTATTAAAAATTATCCTTTTTACAATTAAATAAACTAAGGCTAGTTATCTTTCACTAGTGAATCATTTTTTTACGAAAATCTTTCATCGTAGTATGCAAAATATAAAATTTTCTTGGATAATATACATGTATATATTTGTAAAAGCACAAATATATATATATACATACATGTATATTTTTTATACAGCTTGGCAAAGTAAAAAAAACAAAAAAGAATAAAAATCACGTTCATTTTCTTAAATTAATAAAAATGAGCGCAAAAGGAACGGTGACGCTTTCTCTTTCAAAGTTGTAGAAAAAAAAGGAAAAAAAAAATAGAAAAATAGAAAAAATAGAAAAAGAAATTAGACTCACATGGCCTTTTAAAAGCGCTTTTATCACATCCACATTTATTAATTTCATCGATCTTACGGTCCATGCATTTTTATTGTGATTAACATATAGAGAGTTACGTTTGGAATATATTTATAGTTCAATTCCCATTCACATATATTATAATATACTAACTACTTGCCATTGATAAGAAAAAATAAAAACAAAAAGGTTCATTGTATTAAACAAAATACAGTCTCACGAGACTCGATGAATTATTACAGTTTCTTATTTTCGAACAATTATTCTAGAAAATATAAATTCATTAGTTGTTTATATATATGTATACATATCTACACATATATATAAACATATATATATCATGTCATTATTCATGTTATTTCAAATTGTTTATTTGATGAATTAAAAAGATCCGTGTTAAATGAAAGCTTCTTCCTTAAAAAAGAAAAATGAAAGAAAAAAAAGAAAAATATTGAGAAAAATATTAGACGTCTCATCGAGAAGACGTAGACGATAGAATAGGTATGGTTCAGTATAGGGATGTAGTAGTATGCCAGCATACCATTGCAGCAGCTCCTCCTCTGCGCCACGCAATCGCTCTTCACCTGCGATACGCAAAGTCCCGCGGCAAATGGCAGCGGTGAAAATGCGGACGCACAATCGACGGCCTCGTCTTCTCACAGTCCTCCGCTCACGCAGGGCCATTCGACATCGACTATCTTGGATTGCAAAACTAATCCTGCCCAGTACGTTCTTATCCAAGGATGGCAACTTCTTTCAATGGCAGTTTCCCTATTTCTACCAAGGAACAATCGGCTATTGTGGTATTTGAAGTTACACTTGCAAAGGAATGCTGACAGCAAGTAAATATTATTTGATTTGTTTTTTTTTTTTTTCTATTACATTTGACGATGATATTACTAATGTTTTTTTTTTATTTGATTGATTTTTAGAACGGAATGTGGTAAATACGCAGCCTATTGTGAGAGAGCTTTAGAAAGGACACTGCAAAACGGTGGAAGGGAAGTTAAACCATCACGTATGGAAGTACTTTCTATATTCATGAAAAATCCATTCCATCATTCTTTGCCACATTCTATACCTGTACACTTTTTAAATGGCACTTATCAAGTAGTCGGTTTTGATGGTAGTACTACGATAGAGGAATTTATAAATACGTTAAATCAAGAGATTGGTTGTCGGGACGTACATCAATCGGGTTTTACATTATTCAGTGATGATCCTATTGAAAAAGATCTCGAACATTTTATCGATCTTCAAGCGAAGGTATTAAATATAGAAATGAAATTATACGTTATCGAATAAATTATGTGATTTTATATTAATCATTTATTTCAGCTTTGTGATATTATTTCGAAATGGGAGACAGCTTTGCGGGAAAAAAGATCGGGCAAATTTGAAAATACTAGAGTTATACAATTGACGTACAAATCGCGATGTTATTGGAGACAAGCAGCTAAAATGGAAACCGACAGGGAAAGATTATTATTGTGTTATCAAGTAAATCAACAAGTAGTACAAGGAAAATTTCCTTTGAATCGTGATCTTGCTTTTGAGCTTGCATCATTGATGGCACAGGTCTGTTTAATGTCAAAATTTACCTTTTACATCGAGTCACTTGATTTTTTTTATGTTCCTTTATATTACAGATTGATTTTGGGGAATACAATAATGACAAAGCACGTGGAAGCGGTCCTGGAAGTAATCCGCATCCTCTAGTTCATCAAGCATTAGATAAATTTTTTCCAATACGTTATCGGATCAACATCACTAATGATCAATTGAGGTACACATAACAGAATAATCGTTAAATGCATATTAATATTATTACAGGTTAATCTTCAAACAGTAATATGTAAATTAAAAAATTGTTATGCAGAGAATTGCAGGAGAAACTTCAAGAAAAATGGATAGCTTTACGTGGACGCAGTGTATTGGATTGTGTTCGTATATATTTAACGTGTACCAGAAAGTGGCCTTTTTTCGGAGCTACACTTTATCAAGCTAAAGTAAATATTATCATTGATGCGAAAAAAAATCTAAATGTATATTAATAATACATGATAAATCATCGAAAATAATATTTTCCAGTTGAAACAAAATGATCCGGTAACAGTTTGGATAGCAGTTAACGAAGATAGCGTAACGTTACTCGAATTACAAACAATGGCAGTAATGTGCCGTTATAATTACGCAAATATAGTCACTTTTGGAGGCTGTTTAGATGATTTCATGCTGGTTGCTTGCCCAGACGAGGGTGCCGCGGAACAAAAACTTCTTTTCGCTCTTTCCAAACCGAAGGTATATGCGATTTTAAATTTAACATATTTTATTTAAATTATATGATTTGAATAAATAAAAATAATATACACGCGTGGCTTACAGATATTAGAGATAACGCTATTAATAGCTGATTACATGAATGCACTTGGACACGCTTTACCTGGCACCCCTCAAATGAATACTTTAACACGCAATGGTTCACACAGATCTATAAAATCGACTCTTAGACCTGCTACTGGTTTGTAAAGAATTATTTTGTTAATCTCATTTTAATGAAGCCAAAAAAAAGTAAGATTATGACTCGACAACATTTTATTTTAGGTTCAAGTTGTCTTCCAACACAGCCGGATATTTTGAAATCAACTCCAGATCACCAAAGACCTTAAAAAGACTGGTTGGATTATATTTGAGAATGATGTGAAAGAATGTGTTTACTGACTTATCAAAGTTTGACCGATTGACCGATTGTCAAGGCACTAACTTTATATACAAAGGTATAATCTACTGTATTATAAGGATTAAAAAAAAAGAAAAGGAAATAACAGATAAACTATTTGTGCAAATGGTATATCGGATAGCATTAGAACGAGAGAAAGCGAGAGAGAAAGAGCAGTGAGTGCAGCAATTATTTTGGTTGTGTTTTGTGTAAATTAGAATGGAAGCTTGTAGATGACTTTTATGTAAATATTTAACGGCGCATATAGCACAGAGAGACCATGTACCATGTGTATATATGGTGCAACAGAATGACTGAAAATTACTCGAATCGATTTGTAACACTGCCTAATTAGTATGTCTAATTACATCGAATAATAATTTTCATTTTAAAAAGCTGAGCATCGTGCGGAAACGTTTTGCTACCGTATTTATATACCAAATACGAATCTCTAGTATAAAATACTAAATTTATGTGATGTATCACGTACTATGTACATATATATTAATCAGAATTACTGAATGTGTCTAGAAATTTAGTATTAAAACAAAATAATAATAATTATAAGAAGAAGAAGAAGAAAAAAAGAAATACACAGATTAAACAAAAAGTAATATGCGATAACTATTACTCTCTAATACATGAGAGAGCATGTCGAATAAATATAAAAATTAATATTAAATAAATAACAAACAAAAAAAAGACAAGAAAAAATGTACTTCTTGCCAAACAAAGTGCGGTAATAATACAACAGCTTTTGTACAACTCGTATGTGAAAAATCAATTTAACAAAAACGGTGTGAATTGAACTGAATTCCTATATTGTCAGAGCGCAGAAAATAAATAAAAAAATAAGATGTTTTTAGATGCTATTGATTTGGAGACATTTTGACAATTTTTTCTTCCGCGTATCGTATTATCTGTTTAAAAAAAAAAAAAATGATTATATGAGTACCGAACACCACGACGGGGATAAAGGAATATAAAATGAAGCTATCGTTTTTTCAATCACTTCGAACGACGGACCTCGGAAAAGATTTTTTCTATATACCGAAAGTAATGTGACAAAACTTCTTATATATTGTATTATTATATAATTCTGATAAAATAGCTAGTCTCATATAGTTTATATTTATTTAATATGTAAACGAATATCTTTTTGTTTATATAAAGACACGACCAAATAGATGTAAAGGGGAACATATTTTATTTAAACATTTTTTAGCATCGTTCCTGCATAGTAAAAGAAAACACACAAGCGCAAAAGAAATACACATTATTCGAATTTTAATTTATATAATATTCTCTTATAGAAGTTTTGTATATGGCTTGAACGTGTGTCCCTACGTAACTAGTTAATGTCTTCCTTCTCATTAGTAAAACACAAGCGAATATATAAAGTTGAAGTAGGGCTTAGATCGTACAATAACGTACAAAACTTCTATAATTTGATATTATTATTTTGAGAAATAGGCTGAGTATGATCGTGCCTCATCCCTTTGAGCAGAATAGATGAATAAATAATATCTATGCACAGCTTATCGTTTGGCGCATTAAAGATTTATATAAATTATTCGAGATCCTCAGAAAAAATACTGGAAACAGTACAAAGATATGCAAGAACGACACTTTGTCCTTAATTTTTATAATATGCAAAACTAAATACTATTATGTAGGTGCTTAGCACCTTTGTATCATGACGCAGTGAAATCATTCATTCTGTAAATATCATATATTAGGCTTAAGTTTTTAAATGTAGTAGAGTCAATATAAGAGGAAGAAGAAGAAAAAGAAGAAGAAGAAGAAGAAGACAGCCATTAAATAACAATCGTCATGAAAAAATTATTCAACCTGTGTATGTCAAAGATGGCTGTCTATAGTATTCTACTAAGCCTACCATCTTACATTTCTATTTATTATTTATTCGCATAAAGTGGCGCATAAAGGCATGATGAGCGGTGACAAGCAGGAAATATTGTACTATTGTACAGAAAAGCAAAAATAAACTGCTTGAATCTGCGGACAAGAGAAAACCTGTACCTTTACCTTTTAATTTAATAGAAATCATCTTGAAAACTAAGTAAGATTAATTGATGCAATATAATGAATGTTCCTTTTTATTCCTTTCATTTTTAATAATACATAAATATTTAAATGTACCTTAGTATTAATCGACTTCCTCCGGTCTAACAGGATGAGTTAATGGTATTACGGATTTTTTAGTCACATCTCTTGAAAGTGCTTTTCTCATATCTTAAAAATATATTCGAAAGATATTAAATTAACGTATTAAAAATTAATTTTTATCTTGTTAATTAAATAATTACCGTAAGCATTTTCATCAGGATCTCCATTATAATATTCTAATACTACTCTGTACACAATATAACCCAATTGCTGATACATCTTAATAGCCACTTTGTTACTAACTCTTACAAACAAATCCACAAAGTATGCTTGTTTCCTATAAAACAAAACACACATTTAATTATTCTCTTGTTTATTTATTTTCATTTCAAAAACTTACTTTTCCGATAATTCTTCTAAAAATTTAATCAACATTGCTGCTAAACCAAGTCTTCTGTGATCAGGTGAAACGGTAAGAGCTGTTACATGACCGTGCCAATTTTCTGCAATACCTTCCGCCTTTCCCATAACTACAAAATAATATTTAAATGAACATAATAATCCTATAGAAATACATTATGGTGTCATTTTTATTAAATCGGCATATAAAATATAAACTGCAAATATTATTCCATGGAAGGTAATCTTTTGTACTTACTATAGCCCATAATTTCACCGCTTGGTGATTCAGCGACTTGGAAATATTCCGGCCAGTGTGCCAAATATTGCATATAAAAGGATAATCCATACTATATAAATAAAAAATTAAGGAACAATATAGGATTGTCAAATAATGACAAATAATAACAGTTAGCTTTTCAACCCACCCACGTATGGCGTGTATTTGCACATTTATATATATACACATTATTATATAATTTTGAATTAATACCTGTATATATATATAAAATTATTTTCATTAATATTTAAAATGAAAAGGATACTGTCTCCGTAAGTGGATCTAGATTCCTAAAAAACAAAATAAAAAGTATTAAGTAATATAAATCCAAGTTAAAACGTAACGTAATGAAAAAGAAAAAGTTAGGTTATATTGTTTGCAATATCTCGTATAACTTACGTACACGTTATTAAATTTGAATAAATCGGTGCACGTGAAGGGTCTCAGTGTAGTCATTTTTTCTTATAAAAAAAAATCCTTTTATGATTCTAAAAAAACTTAGTTAAATACAAAATAACTTATCTGTAAAAGGGAATAAATTTCATTAGAACAAAAACAAAGACAGATTAATAAAATCTAATTAACACATTTAAATATAAATGTTAATAAAATTGATATTTCTTTATTTAATTTGTTATTAAAAATTATATTTTGTATCACAATGCACATACACTAGATTAAAAGTTGTCAAAAATTGTCTATCAACACTCAGAATGGTAAACCTAATATGGCTGCCAACAATGTAATTTTTATCTAGAGACTTTAGATTTAGTAATATTTATATGGTTTCTAGTTTTATTAGTTATTTTTTAAAAAGAATCATGCATCTTTTTTTCAAACAATTTTGTAACTATCATTTTTATCAATTATTGTTTACTTATTTACATTACTTACTGTATTATTTTATTTAACCACGAGCTTCATTTCAGTTACTACTTTCTGCATCCGTTTCATTTTCAACCCCGATATAAATCTTTCATCATTCACCTTAACACCTTTCCAATTCTCACATGTATATGTTTTATATTTAAAATAATAATTATAATATATAAAAACAAAATATAATTAAATAATAGAAAGTATACATTAAAACTCATTCATATCATCAATCCAGTTACTATAATGATGCGTACCTAAAAAAAAAAAATAAAAAAAAAATACTTTTAGCCCACTTTGTAATCGTCATTAAAACAGTACGTTAATAAATTTTCACGAACATCCTATTTAATTTGCATCTTATTTTTAACGAGATGAAGAAAGAAGGAGGCTGACTTTTTTTCGTTCGTTAAGTTTTCAGGTAAAAAAACCGAGACCTAGCGTGAAGCTATTAAAGTTTTGGCGAAGTATTACACATACATACACACATTTATTTTCGGCTAAACGAACCTTTACCTGTCTCTAAGGTAAGTCAATTTTTCTGCTTGTAATTTCGATAGCATCGTTATGCTTTCGAAACGTTACATTGTTTCTATGTAAGACAGTATTACAAATCCCTGTAATTCTACCGTAGAAAAAAAAAAAAAAAAAAAGAGAAAAAGAAAGGAAGAAAGAGAATCGTGAAGTTACGCACGTGCAAAAATTTACCGTAATCATAATTGTTTCTTCCCTAATTACGTAGATACCATAGGCTTACTATCTGTACATATGTGAGCTAGTTTTATTTCTAGAAAAGGATTAGCATAAATCATTTTTCAACACGAGATCGAGTCATTTCTTCTACGAATAATAATTTCTTTTTTTTTTCTTTTTCTTTCAAACGTGACCTATCATCAACGGGATGATTAATTCTTTCAAACGATCGTTGCACTTTAATTAATTTACACTGTACTTTAAACGTACTAAGTTTTAACCAATTATAAATTGAAAGATTTGTAAGAATGTGTTATATGTTTTTTATTCTTCTAAGAAAATTGGTATTTTAATAATCCCTAAGAAAAAAAAGGTTAAACCTTTTAATTACAACGATATATACAGCTAGCTTTAACGTTCCTTCTAACCACAAGCTCGTATTTATGCAGATTAATATAATAAATTTATTCTCCTACACGCTAAAAGTTAGCTGAGCGTACGAGATCGCGTGCGATTCGATCCTCATCTTCATTGGAAATACGCTAGAGAGTAATCGTCGTTCGTTCTGCGAGAAATACATCGGTTAACGTACGAAGTTAAGGGGCTTGGGTAAATTGAACATAGAAAAAAATATTTTTCTTTATTTATAGTTGAAAATACGATGGGTCTAAAGATTGGATCAAAGTTCAACTTAAGTTTTAAGGGAACAAAAATATAATGAATTATATGAGTACTAAAACAGATTACATTTGGTTCAAATGTAATAAATTTAACATTAAATTGAAAGTTTAAGTTTAATGTAAACCATGTAAAGATGAGATTGGTGTACAAGACAGACTCGTTCAATTGACTCTGTCCTAATTTTGTCTTTTTGTGTGTGTGTATGTGTGGAATACCGTAGACCGAAGACAAGATGCATTATTTTTCGAATGTAATTGTTACTTCATTTCCATACAATTCATTTTCGTGAAAGTTCTGCGAAGAGGTAAGTTTTAACGTAGATAGGAAGTAGGAAGACACTTGTGATGAAAACAAAAACATTGGAAAAGTTTCAAAACATGACAAAAAAAAATTCAAATAAATCGTCCGATCGGTTTCAAAAGACAACCTAGAAATTACAAAATTAACATTTGACACTAAGTGTTTTTTGTCGAAAGGCAAGGTTTTTGTTATTTTGTTGTAATGAAGATTCAAATCAACACGAGTCTCCACTTTCCGTGAACATAAATCCAAGTGAGTGAAGAGGTAGGTGAGCCATGGAAAAGGAGCTTCGTGGGAACGTGTAGAAAGGTAAGAAAAGAGGGAGAAGAAAAGATACGAAAGTAGATAGAGTGTCTTTCTAAAGGTAAGACGTAGAGGGCTGCAAAATGACGAAGAGATTAGAAATGTGTGTGTCTATATATGTATTAAATAAAGAGAGATAGAAATAGTAAGAGAGGAAAGAAGGGATCTTAGTGGAGTCCCCACTATTAAATCGTTCGATGGGGGAAGTAGTAGAAGAAGAAGAAGAAGCTACATTGGGGGCGGTCAGACTCACTTCGTTCTCAGTGCATTACCAACATTTGCAAAGTATACTGTGATCCAAATGAAAGATAATTAAATATTTGTTTCATTTCCCTCCTTATATGAAAAGTAAAGAAAAAATAGAAGACAAACAAATAATAGAAGAAGAAAAATAAATCAACTACTTTTCTTTTTACAAGGATTTCAACGTAGTTACAGATTTCTATTAATGAACAACCTTTTGATGTTTCACCGGAAATTATAAGAAGATAAATTATTAACTGTCAAGAGGGTAAAGAAAAGAAGGCTAAAATCTAAATCTTTCAACGTAGTCGAGGAAGTTACGTTTGGACGTTAATTCAGAGTCCCGTTTTTATTTGTCAAGACAATAGAAGAAGAAGAAGAAAAAGAAGGTTTCCAGTCTCATAATTAAAGGATTCAATGGTAGTGCAGAAAATATAACTGAAGGTATTACACTTAGGGCGGTTCGTAGTTGTCTTAAACACATTATATCTCGTCGACCAAAGACTCGCCAGTCACGAAAAGGAACACGACAACGAAACACTCACGAAGAGTCTCTTTAAAAGAAGTTAGTATAGAAAACATTCAGGAGAGGAGTATATCTTAGATTGTCTTACCAAGAAGAATTCATTCGTTAACTCACAACCCGAACGTACGTACGTTGGTTACACGATGAATAATGGATCCATCGATCGTGATATAATTTATCAAATACAATTTCATTCATTTGTTATTTGTTCATACGTATTGTGGTGATACATACACTTTTGAGGATCAAAGTGTTCCAACTTGTGGTAAAGTTAACCACCAAGTATCCTGGCTCGACCTACACTCTGAGAAAACTTTCGACAGACGAGGAAGCTGAAGTAATAAAGAAGATATGTTTATCTGAGGAGAAAGGAAGACATATATATATATATATGATATTTATAGGTATATTTATTCTTCCTGGATACTTTTAAAATCTAATTTTTTTTCATTACAATTACCTATTATAATAGAAGAGAGTATATTATTAAATCAAAGTAATACAAATTTTCAAAGATTATCTCGTAATGTTATTTGTAGATATATCTTTATAAAAGAATAATCTATTCGGGAGAAACAAAAGGAAACTTTCATCGAGGTTTCACATTTTCGTGCCAGATTATTTCTCGATATATTCGCGTTTATCGCTTCGATGCTTCTTCTATTCGTGCACGGAATCCAACGGAAAACGGTTAAACGTTAGAATCATTTCTGTATTGCACTAGAGATATAAAAGGAGAACTCTCTTTTCAACGAAGAATTTGCCGCCTCAAGGACAAAACTATCATAGATTTACAGGAAGTCGTACATCATTTATGAAATTATATTTTCTTATTTATATTTCGTGATCTTTTCTTTATAACGGATACCGAAAGATATACGAAGTTTGCAATTTKTTGTTTGTTTGTTTGTTTGAAAAGATAATTATTGATAATTTTATGATCAAATATTTTTAGTTTTAACCTTAAATTATTTGTTAACAATCTATCGAGAGAATTATTACCAATGGTGATATTAAATCTACGGATACATTTCTATATCTCATTTTCCATTCACATGCATCAATAAATTTTATAGTAAATCATATCGTGATAAAACCCCATACGTGTATATATATTTTATATATATTTTTTGTTTTACTTTAATATCATTGCATTATGAGAGAAGAGTAAGAGAACTTGTAAATCAAGCAAACAAATTTTTCGTTACAGCCAATTTGACGGTGTCGTAAAATATCCGAGCGTATCGTAAATGCTAAGATTTACGATTAGCATTAGACGGTCATGAAGAGCCGACCGAGAACGATTTTATCCAGGGATACATCGAAAGGAAGCAAAATACGAAGGGACAAATTTTATTCGACATATTTTTACTTGTAAAAGAAGAAGAAAATCATTTGGTGTGTGAAGGGCCTGAAAAAATATCGAATCATACTAATCGAACAAGGTAAGATTAAAATTCTTAAAATATAAACGAACATTTTTAAATTCTTTCAATTTTCATTTTATTTCTTAGAATTTGATAGAACAAAATTGTCAGATAATAGTAGTATAAAAAAAGAATAACTTTCATGAATTTGTAAGAATAAATTACATAAACATTTGACTTATAATACTATTGAATTTCGAATGCTAAAGATTTGAAATGTTCATCAATTAATTTAAATAAAAATAATTTCGAGTATTTGTATACTCGAACAATATTTCAAATACAAAATTCAACATTGATTATCGATCAACCAAATAGAAATGCAACCTAAGAAAAAGTTATAATTCGTGAGTAAAGGAGATAAAGTAGAAAGTGTAAATAACACATCAAAACTGTACTACACTGTACTCTAAAAGGAATATACATATATATACATGTATATGTATATATACTTACTTCCATTTTCATTGATAGGATAAGAATGAAAAGGAAAGACTCGCGTAAAATGAGCTGTTTGCCGGCTCGTTAGCACTATAAGCTTGGTTACGTTAGCTAAGATCATTGCCGCCTTTCACGAATGTCAATGTCATCCTAAGCGTTTTCTTCACTGTCACCGCCGATGCACGGCTCGGTGCACGCAGCTAAGTCAGACTTTCGATCTCTTGAAGATCGATGACCTTTCTTCATCTTTCCTTCTTTTAAATTTAATCATATCATTTAATTATATATATTCAATGTTTATAATACTAAACTTATTAACAATTTATTTTATACCATAATTCGTAATTCAATGTTTTTTTTTCATCATTATCATCGTGATCGTCAAAGATTCTACTTTTTGTATTATTATTCTTTTTAATTATTAATAATCATTTTATTATTTTTTTGTGTGATAAATTTGGTATTGAGACCTAGTTAAATAAAAAAACGTGCAAGAACGCGTGCATAAGAACGGTAATCGATACGTATGCGTATAGACAATCATAAATTGAACTCATTACTTTCATAGGGAACGTTCGAAAGGTTAGAAATTATAATTTCATGGACGTCCATTCGTCTTTGCGAAGAGTGCGTTTGTTAGATCGACCATAAATAATTAAGACGAGGTAACGAGAACGTTTCATGAGAGTACTAGCACCGTTATTAACAACAACAAAAATATTTAATAACTGTTAGAAACAATATGATGGTCTTGAGAAAAGGGGAGAAATCGATTTTCTTTACTCGTTCAACAGACTACCATCAAAAACATTAATAGACGTGTACCAATGTATAGTGACTGATAAAAATGATAATTGTAATGAAATCTATTGGATTGGTTGATAATTTAATGTTGAAATTTTTATTTTTATTTTATATACAATTGCGACTATATATGTACTGTTTTCAAGCCATAAAGTCAGATCACACACAAAAAGAATTATTTCAAATTAAAATTATATTTAATATTTTAGTTTAAATTTTACTATCGAAATTTCTAATATTTTGTATCTAAATAAACAACGTTAGTATCATCAATATTACAATTAAAAGTTAAATATAGTGAAAGAGAAAGATCAAATAATGATTTTTGCGAGTCACTGTACATCTAACATTAAACAAAGTCTTTATAATTAGCTGTCAGTTGAAAACATTAGCTGTCAGTTTAGAATATTAGCCGGTTTTCTCTTCGTTAGCTTTGAAAATCAAATAGAACGAAATCGAAATTATTCAACAAACCCTCTAGTTACAAAGATCATAATTTCATCTCGATCTAGTTAAAAAGTAAACAAGAAATCCCAAGAAGATACAAATTTCCGTAGGACGTAACTAATACGAATCCTTTGCCAATAAAAATGGTCACACATTATTGATCAAACTTCAGCTTGTCTTTTCTATAATGTAAATCTACCGTTAATCGCAAGACACCTGTTTACAGCATAGCGAATAATAACTAGGAAGGTGTAGCGGATTAGATAGATAAATTAGGAACTGTCTGAAGCATCAACATGAATTTCAATATGGTTGTTAGAGTATTTCTTGATTACTCCAGTATATTATTGTTATATGATTTATATCAAAATATTTAAGACTCTCGAAATGATGAGCTCAGAAATAGGCACAGGAAACATAAGAAATAATAAAAAAAAAAAAAATAATTTATATAAACGTGTCAAATTTTATCTCGATTAAAAATTAATAATAAATCATTTATAAATTGTATTGTTGAACAGGAAAACAGGAAAAGAAAGATGTTATTTATGAATTAACAATTCTTCGAAAAAACAACTGCAAAAGTATCTATAAAGTGTCTTATGAGAAGTGCCGCTATGTCCCACATAGAAACTCGACGGTGGACGATTCTGGGACGTCCGGTACGTTCGGTTATTATATATCTTCCGGGACCGACAATGTATTTATAATACTAACGTTAGTCTTACCTACCCTTTAAGTTTTTTGGTCCTTGTTTAAGTATATTCTTATTTTGACGGAAACTCAAATAACATCATTTTCAAGAACGGATTTATGCTCAATTAATTCTTCATCCTTATTCCTTTTTTATTTTATAAATATCAGTCTGATAAATTGAAATTCCAAATTTTTGCTTATGTCATCTTGCAATAATTGAAATGAACTAATCATGGGAAATTATGTTGAAGTTAATTTGCAATCTTGGAAAAGAAAAAAATAATGTTATAGATCGTTTGTAATTGTTGGGTGTGGTGGTGGTGAAYGAGACAAGTAGATCACTGGTACAAGTGGATCGTCATTTGTACTTTTAGAACAAATGTTCTAACCATTCTCGTCCTTCTGGAACGAAGTAAGCATCCGGAGTTGGTAATAGTAGTAGTAGTAGTAGTAGTAGTAGTTAGTTGATGGCGTTGAAACGATGGGTGTAGAATCTTCGAGCCGGTTCACCGCTCGTTCATCGAAAGCGAGCCAACGGGAAAAAAAGCAAGTTGTTTCGAGGTGTGGGCGGCTATTGAATTGATGTTCATTCTATTTAACACTTGGAATTCTACTCGCGATAGTTCCGCGTAATTCTCTTGGTAGTATCATCAACAACACCACAAGAATATTTATTATTAATTGTATAAATTAATAATGGACACAAAAATTCATTTCATTTTTATCTGTTATTCGTTTGAAAACAAATATGAGCTACGCGGATGAAATTTTTTACAACCGTTATGTAACTTTTCAAAATACATTATATATACAATTATATTTTTTAAATGTATATATTACATTAATACTATATCGATAATTGTTCAAATTATAACGTAACAAATAATAATCCTAAAAATACATTTATCATTTAAAATATTTGTGTGTGTGACAAAAATTATTTGATATCAAAAAAGAAAATATTCCAATTGTAAACTTATATTAATGAAAGCTTTCAAGATCATCGCGAATCCCTTTAACAAAATATTTTCCTGATTACAAAGAAGTCATTGATAAATAATAGTAGAACTACAAGTACCCTATATTTCCAACTCAACATTACCCCATTGATGTAATGAAGAAATGAAGGACGTTGGTTTCTCGTAAGTCCATTTAAAAGATGATCGTCATCTACATTTAGGAATCTTTTGAATAAACATATGGGGGAGATTTTGCATACGGTGTAGGTATATCTAAGGCAGGACTACCTGTCGTGAGTTGGCTGAAGGTTATTCAACCCGTCGACATCTCGTAGGAACGAAGTAACGGGTCTGGGTATAGTCTCGTACAAACTAAACGGGGGGACCCTGTACGCATCAGCTTTGAAACACTCGCGGTGCCTTGGAGGCGCCTGTTAAAACCTTCTCTCTCTCTCTTTCTATCTTTATTCATTTTCTTTATTTCTTTCTCCTTCTTAACACACCGAATCGACTTTACTCGTCTTCCCGACGTCCACCACGAGTCAGTCAGCCGTGCACCATTGTCGACAGATCTACGTAGATCTCAAAGAGACAAGTTCAAATCGTTAGAATTAAGTTTCGATTTCTAATCGTGTACTGTTTTATTCCTTTTTTTTTTTATTTATTATTTGATCAGAAAAAATAATTCATCTTATTTTCTCTTGATCTTTCAATATTTCATTTCTTTTATTTTCTTTCCGATCATTTTATTTCATTTTATTTTATTTTATTTCTATTCTTTTGATTTTCTTATTTGAAAACGATAAATCTTGTATGGTAATTCACGCGGAAATATCTTTATATTCTTTCGTTTCGGTTCGTTAAAGTTTATTTATTAATAAAAACAGTGTGTCACGCGCGTGAACGATATTTGTGATATCGGTGTGATGTCCGTTGGTGCGATACTTTGAAAAGAATTCTTTTTTTTTTTTTATAATAAAATTTCAGGTAAGACATTTAAAACGTTATCGATTTCTATATTAGCATATTTCAATTGCTTTTTCATTTTATTATTTTATTATCTCCTCGATATAATAATATCCTTGATAGAGAGAGAGATTTATAGAAAGTTTTCGAAAAAAAAAAAGAAATGTGATCGAGTGAAATGTAAAATGTACAAAACGAACGATCATTTTCCTTCAGAGTGAAATTTTTCATTATCACCCATAAATATATACGCTTCCGTAAACACAAATATTTTTCTTATTCTGTAAGATCAAAGAAATAGAAAGCAATTGGGTTCAATCAAGAGGAACGATTTGTTATATTATTATCTGTTCAAGTTTTTGGTCAAAGAACTTTTAACACACGAATATTTCAAGTAGAACGAAAGAAATCGATTTATATTAAAATCGGACAGATATTTTTATTCGTCACGTTACGACGACGGCGACGACGATTCACTTAACGGTACGTCGAACTATAACCAATCGAAAGATATAAAAAATAATACAAAAAAAAAATAAATAGGAAAAACGAATACTTTCTTCTATCGTGAATAATAAATAATTATTCTTTCTAATTCTTTTCTTTTTGTGTTTCTTTTTAAATGTTCTTTCACGATCTAAGAGAAAACGTAAGAAACATTCGATGCACGCGACTCATGCAAAGTGAGAGAGGTCCAAGAAGAACGATGGACTTGGTATACCGTTAGTAGACACAAATATGAACGAAAAATGCAACGGTAAAGAAAGACATTCCCGGATTCTCTGTGATCGACGGTTATTTCATCAATGGAATTTCAAAAATTACAGCTTTCTATCATTTATTGATCATTTACTCCTAACTCTTGATAATAGTCAATACAAATTTCAAACATTTTAGAAACTCCAATCACATTTTTCTACAACTTCAATAAAAAATAATATTTAAGAATGCAGACCACGATAAATAAATAAAATATTTAATACATTAAATAATTAATGAGATAAAAAATCGTTTATCTTACTCGTGAATGTTTCCAATGAATTAAAAAACAAAACATTCTAAAAATCCTAATCATTTAGTTTGCATCCTAATAAAAATACTCCAATTATAATGTATTTACTTCTATTAAATAAATAATTGTCAAATTAACTCGAGAAAACAATTACCCTTTTACGTAATATTAAAAAAAAAAAACAAAAAACACATAACAAAAGCCATGAGCCATGAAATCAACGATGAACACCATTTTCGTGATGTTAAGTTAATAAAATTGACATGCAAGTAACGTATTCGAGACAAACGATCGATACTCGAGAATCGAATACGAAAGACTGTCTCGATCGAGACCTTACTCGTTAAATTGGCTATAAAGGATTCGTATCGTGACTAAAACGATCACGTCGTTTCCTCTTGACAACCTACGAGACTAGCAAAATTCACTTCTGACTGTTCTTACCTAAGCGATTGCAAGAAAGAGAACTCTATCATATATCTTATGGTGTTTCTGTATTTTTTCGTTTTTCAGAGCACGAACTTTAGAATGGAACTATTCAGGATCGTGTTGGCTCTCTTGTTAGCAGGATTCGCCAATGCCAGGCCTCAAATAATCGGTAAGTTTTCAACCAAATATTACGTGAATTGTTTTTTAATTGTATTCTAAAAATAAATTTTTTATACAAAAATAAATAGAAAAATAGAGAAACTAGTATAAGAAATAAGCTTTCTTTTTAAATAAAAAAGAAATGAGTTTTTCTTTTATGGTTGAGTTAAATATTATAATGATCGTGTCGTGTTGAATAAATTTTTTAGATACAAATATTTTTATACGTAAATGAGTTGAAATACAATTTTTTTTTTTTAAGTCAAATTTATACTTTTTTCTTTTTTATAAATGAGAAAATAAAATTTTCTTTAATAAAGATCTCAAAAAAAATTTTTCTTTACGCCTTCAATGAAAATAATTTTTGTACGAGTTAAATTTGATGAAAAAAGAAATTACGATTAATGATATAATAATGTGATAACGCAAACTACAATATTATGTAACATATCGTAAAAAAGAAAAAAGAAATTGGATGCAATTAATGCAAGAATCGAGTTTCATATTATCTTAAAAGCATCCATATTCAATGAAGTAAGTTAACGCTGACGTTGAAAGAACCAAGAGAAGATTTCTTCGCTAATTAAGACATGAGGGTTTCTGTCACTTTCGATTGTTCCCTCGTTAAAAAGAACTACTTCGAACGAAAGTTGTGTATATTGTATATTTTCTTTTCTTTTATGTACTATCTATTTTTTTCTTTTCTTTTTTTTTAAATGAACGATTATACGATACGTGTGTTCTACGCAATAACAACAAAACAATTTCGTCAGAAAATTTCCTAACTTTAAATCGAGTCTCCACATTTTTCATGATTTCGAAAATTTTATCGATGCATATCAATGGTGGTTACATCAAATCTTTACCAAATCGATGCTATGTAACATGTACTAACGTGCACAATTATTTTTTTATAAATGTACGTAACGCAATCTAAACTAACTAAAGACTAGCATTAAATTGGCTTTGAGAAACACGTTTGATAACGTTTAGTCGTATTTTACATTTTACAGACACGGAAACGATTTTACAACAGGAAGCAACTAACGAGACATACAGCAACAACAACAACAAAGAATGGAAGAAACCAATGAAACCTAGCATGGAAATGACTACCGAAAATGTTCACCGAGGTGACAGCAGGTATACGGAGAACTCCGGAAGTCGTAGAAAGTCTTACATTAACTATTATCGTTATATTAATGATAGTTCGCCGATCAAAAGTAGAAATAGTAGTGGTAGTAGTATTAGTAGTACTAGTAGTAATAGTAGTAAAACTAGTAGTAGTAATATTATTAGAAAGGTAAGTTCAGGATCGGTAGATTCCGTTAGGGGCTCATTTGACCGGTTCAAGTTATTAAACGAAGAAGATTATTTTCGACCGATAAATATTTCAGATAGATATCCTTATCGTCCCGTTAAATTATCAAATCATAGTAAAAATGATAGATCAATTTATGCGTCACGTCGTTTAAATCTCTCTAAAATTTACAAATTAATTAATCATGAAAATGATGTATTAACTAAACTTGATGATAAACATGATTCAAAACTCAATGATAATTCTCAACGCGAAGTTATTAATAATTCAGGAAAGAGAAGGTTGGGAGCGAATGAACTGGCCTTGAACCAGAATTTAAACTCAGAAGAACGAGTAGATATACTGGATCGCAAAAACATACCAGCATCGACTTATAGAAACTCTGTCAAGGTCGGACATTATGGTAGTACTCCTGTGCTTTCTTACAACCGGTTTCCACAAGTCGTCGCTATTAGGAATGTAACGAATACCATGTTGAGGGATCGTGAGAATTACGGTTTTTCTAAACATACGGTCAACGACCTTAACCAATCAACAAAGAATTCGAAATTGTCGACTAGTGTTAGGAAAATTACACCCCAATCTAAAATTACCACGAATTCTCGCAAACCTACGATCAATTTCGTAAGACGTGATAATAATATTATTGATAGAAGAAATATAACGCGTGTTTCACAATTAAATAATCAAATATCTAAGGCTAATTCTTTACTCAAAAATTGGCCTAACGATATACCAAAAGATGCAGAGGATTTTTATAATTATCACAGATATACGTCATTTCCTGGACAAATTCAAAATTTGCAAAATACGGATCAATTAATTAATCCTAATAATAATAATAATTCGAATGTTCATCATCGAGTACCTGCCATGCAACCTGGTATTCAAGAAATTGTTCAATGGATGAAAGTTCCAGCGTTTTCTTCGAATCAAAGTCAAATGTTAGAGAGCGATGAATTCGATGGTCCTATCAGTGTAACTTTCAAACCAATTTATGAGAATCTCGAACCTAATCTTCCTTTGAAACCATCCGTAGATAACACGTTAAATCATAACAATGGTAATAATTATTTCGATAATTTGTTACACGTTTCACCAAATTGGGATACATCCACGACAAATAATGATTTGATTCAAGCGTCATCTTTGCCACCAAAGAAGACCGGATATAAGCCTATAACGCAAATAACGCAAAACACGGTCGTTCATATTCTGAACAATGGTTCGAAAAAATCTAACAGTACATTAACCGAGATTAATGATCTTCAGAAAAATATTTCAATGCCTGTTACTTCTATTCAAGCTTCTTCCATTACCTCAGATTCACAACCCAACATGCAGGTAATGTTCTTATCAGAGGAGGATAAGGTTAAAGAAAACGTTAACTTCGATGAAAATTGTCCTACCATCATGATAAACTCGTTTACCAATGTAAATAATACAATTGAAAGTAAAGAAGGATGTACGGATTTGAATATCATCATTAATTCACACATTTTAAATACTAACGTGATTAAACCCGCAGAAACTACAATCGATGACCCAAATAACGCGGATTTATCACCAAATGAAAATAATAAATATGTAGGTCCTATAGAGGATACTTATCCTTCCTTTTCGATTAACAATTACGAGACTACACCAACCGCAATTTACAATACTCCTTCGTACCATCATGATTATATACCACAGAACGACGAGATATTTCAATCGGAAATTTCCTCCGAGCCTAATTACATTTCTTCCGACCTACCAATCCTTCAGGTTGTCCAGAATACTCAAGTAAGCGTGACGAACTTGAACGATCAACCTAACGACGTTGATGGTTCAACGTTATCTGAAACACCGGTTGAAAATTTAGATGATACTTCTGGTCCTGTTAATAACGATGTTGCGTCTACGATAAATCAAGGACAATCTGCTTCTTCTACGTTTACCGATGTATCCGGTAATGGACAAGGAAATAGTAACGCTAATGGTCTTGGTACTTTGCAAAATTCTGAGCTATCAAATCGTCCTAATTTACCAAACACAGTTTCTCACTTGATCAATAATCGTCCTTCTAGTGGTACCAATTTAGGATCTACTGTTAACAATGACGATGATGATGACGATGACGATGACGACTTTGATTTGTCTCCCAGTGGTGTATTGGAATCGATAACCTCAACTTTCACGTACCTTACTTTCTTCACTCCTTTGAACTATAGTTTGTTCAGTTTAGCAGCAGCTCCTTTCGCTGCTCTCGCTGCTGGTATCTTAGGAATAGCTGCTTTTATATTTCCCTGGACTATTCCAAGTGCTTTTGATTTTGGTAGATCATCCAATCCTGTCACGATCAAATTCACACCTAATCTCGATGAAGTTGTCAGACATTCCCTGCAAAAATATAAACGATTGAACGAATGGAAAAGTAAAAAGAGGAAGAAACGTGATTTGTTTTTTTATCTATTATCAGATTAAATTGATATTAATTATCTTGTAGATATATTTATTTAATCATTAAGTTATAATATATACTAATTTAAAGTATAGATTGTATTATGAAAATAATGAAATTTCTATTATTTCATAAGTTTAATGTTAATTGAACGTGATAGATATAATTTAGCGTTCCGATACTTTTTTACGATTATTTATCTTTTTCTGATAATTTCAACCTTTCTCAAAAATAATAATCTTTTCTTTCTTTTTCTTTTTTTTTTAACATTCTCGAATATCGAAACAGGTAACAGACTGATCGTCATCATACAGCAATGAGAATGAATTTGTAATTTGAATAAAATATTCCAAATAAAAAAGTATCTTGTGATTTTATTTCAGTTTGAAACCACATTGTATGTGAGTGTTTGATTCAAATTAAACGTTAAATTAAAAAGAAACAAAAAAAAATTACCTTTAGAGATATTATAATTTTAAACTTTACACAAAACGACATTATCCCATGTCCCCAATTTTCCTTAAAATAATGCGGTAAGGATAATAAATTATACAGGAAATTTTAAGTATTATTTTCCGTCTAAGGTAAGAAAAACATTAAACAAATTGTCTATAGTAAAAAAGAAACAAAAATTACGTGATACTGATGATACTAAAAGATAATATTTAATTATCTACATACAATAAACATAGAATCATATTGACCTAGAAAATTTAAGATAATTTCATTGAAAAAAAATATCCATAACCTAAATAAAATGAAACGATCTCACAGGAGATTTTCATTTCAGTGTTCAACTCAATGAAACTCAACGCCAGCTGAAAGATCTGCAACACATCAACCAATCATTAAGAACGGTCGCTACGCAGTTATTAAACGTAACAAATCCAAACGAAGGAATTAAAGATACGAAATTAGATATGAAAGATTCAAAATTGAACGAGAAGAATGAAGCATTATTCGTAAAGGAAATAAATACCGAAATAAGTAATTTGGAATCAATGGGAATTAATTTTGGTAGACCGATCAACTCGAAATTTGGTTATTTTGAGAATAGTCATCCTGGTCAAGCTATGGTCATGACAGAAGAAGAACTCGAAAAGGAAATGGGTTCTACCAGATTGATGATAGCTCATAAAAATCATCCAACGACAACTGGCGGTATCTCGACGTGGATTCTATTAAATCCACCATCGACGACAATGAAGGGTCTCACGGATAATGCTGATCAACCTAGTACAACTAAACAACCTGAGAACGATGTAAGATATACATTGAAACCGATCGTGACTCATGGAAGAATAGAGGTTAAGAATACCAAGAACGAGCAAAAGACAACATCACAATTACCATCGACTGGCTCGATAGAGAAAGTTATATTCCCTAGTACGACGAAGAAAGCTACGAATAACAGTACATTAAAGAAAACAACTCTTAGTAATAGTTCCTCCTCGAAACAGGACGAAACCACACAATCCTTGGCTAAGTTAGAAGAAACCATTGAAAATACTACCTCCAAGATATCACGTACAACTTTAGCAGCCTCTAATACGGAAAATAAAGTAACATCAGCATCCTTGTCTTCTACAGCTACCACAAAAAAAATTCAAATCATAAGGTCAACTTTAAAAGCTAAAAGCACGACACCTAGATCAACCGTTGTTAATAAATCTGGTACGAGTCAGCCAACTAAAAGACCTCAACAAGGAAAGCCTAAACCATCTCATACGAGAAGAACAACCGTGAAACCTGATATATCAAAGAATGACAATTCTACTACAGCTAAGGTTGAAAAAGTTACGTTCAAAGCAGTTCCAATGATTACAACACCAAAACCAAAGAACAATATCACGGAAAAACCAATGTTCGTTACTAAGATCAAGGCTTCTGTTCTCATGGATACTCAAAAAACTACAACTACGACTACAGCTCCGAACGTTTACATTTCTACAACTTCTAACCTCAATTTTTCGGATGTTGATTTAGTAGAATTACCAGTCAAATCTAAACCTCTTGGAGCAAGCATAAATAACGCCTTGAAGGTGCAATTGAAAAAACCAATTGATGATTCTACTCAAATCGAGATAGAACCTATCAAAATGAACGCACCCATTCTAACGATTCAGAAAGTGGAAAAGAAACCAAATGATGATATGTCTGACATTAATTTTGTTAATCTCAATGGTACTAGTATTGATTTGAAATTTGATTTCAATCCTGAACTGACTAAGATCAGTACTGAAATGGAGAACTCAGAAAATTCTATGACAACGTCCAGTCCATCAACTATGACAACGAAACGACAAAGAAATTCGAATAAGAGGAAGAAGAACAAGATTAGGCGTCGTAGGCCATCTAGCTCGACACCGTTAACATCAACATCAACATCAACCACAACTACACCTAGCACAATTGTTCCTGTAACAGCTGAGGAAATAATCGAAATATCAGCTGAACCAAATCCTTTGGACAATGCTATTCAAGAATCCAAAATTGAACCTGAATCCAAAATTACTAATACCAATACAAAGACTAAGAAGAAGCCACCACAAAAAGGTATCAGTTCACAGATCTACAGTTTTCTAAGCAGAGAAGTAATGCCCAGTTTTGGAGTAATGTCATTGTTAGGATTAGGTTTGGGATTGGCTTCCTATTTCTTGTATCCTTTCGGTGGAACAATCACCCGAAGAAATTACGAGGTGGAACCTAATTACAAGTATAATTTGGACGAATATGGTGGTAATTATGGACAAAACGAAGAGGATGTTTTATCAAAGGTATTGCAAGGTATGACCAATCATGAGAATAAATTTGGTCTTGCATCATCAAATGGGGTCAAAGATTTGGATAAAAATTATTATCGTTATCAACATTTTGACGGTGCGTATGATACTCAATCGGTAAGAAGAACGGATCAAAGATATCCTTTGCCATCGTCGTCACCTATTTACAAACCAACTGAACATACAGCGTCTATGCTTAAATATCGTAACACCGATTACAAATATTCTGAAATACAAACTACGCCAACTTATTACGATCCACAAAAACATAATGAATTTGTAATCAGTCAAGATAATTCAGGAAATAGGCAATTCGTTGTCGGTAACATACCGAAAGAGTATCCACCATTTAACAACGATAAACATCCTACCTTATCGACGACGAATAAGAAAGGTCCCAACGTTTTCCAAGAACCCACGGAAAGTGGCTTGACGCAATTTGAACGTGACATTGCTCAAGGTCTCAACTTTCCACCCAATTCCATTAATGGACATGGCTATCAATCGGAAACCCAAACTTTACGACCTGAAGATGGTTACGAAGAGATTGAGATTACACCTACCGCAGTAGCAGTTGAACATGGACCTAGATCTTTAAAAATAAAACGTTCGATCTCTAATCGTCTTTCCAGATCGAAAAGGGAATCTGTAATTCAGATAATCCCGTCTAAACACGAATTAGAAGAAGAACAAAAGGAAGAGGATTTAAGCAATGAAATCTTAGATATTATTGACTTGGCTTTACCTGGTAGTGATGAGAAAAAAATCAAACATAACGATCCTGATGATTTTCATTCGTATAAGAAAAAACTTCACGAGGAATCTCAAAAACATCATAAAGAAATAGGTTCTAGAAGCCCGACGCTACCTAATGACACCGAAAACAATACTAATAATGTAATACATGATAGCGTTGAAAAAATAACGACTGAAAAACAACTCGATAAAATAGAAGAAGAAAATTATTCGAGCACTAGTTCTTTTGTAACTCCCATATCTTCGAGCAACGAATCGTCTGATACAACCGAACATACGAAAGACATCGAAGAAACTACGATCGAATGGTCCGAAAATTCAACGACGACGAAACCAAACGAAGAAGGTTTTAATATCTTTAGTTTCGTTAAGAAAGTAGCCGAAATTAAATTTAGATTAGGTTTGACCATATTGAAACATGCTAGTGAGGGTTTCGCAAGATATCTGGGACATGTTCAAAAGAGGATCAATGGCGAGGAATAGAAAGGGATTTAATGATACCTGTCGAGACCACAAGTTGAGAATGATATGTGATTTGAAGAGCTGGCAAATTGCATTGTATCGTCTCTGATGTGTACTTACGTACTTACTTCAGCATGTATATTTTATTTAACGACTGCGTAGAAGTAAACCACCCCAGTTTATACTCGTTGTTTCATACTCGGTCTTATCTACGCGAGATATTACTTGAATTATTGATCGCATAAATGATTTCCTGATTGTTATACCATCGCGATTATTTTCACTATTGACTGAAGGATTAACTTCTAATATTTCGCAAAAATCAATATTAACGCATTTATCATCACAAGTGAAAATAATGAGCGATGATGTTTGAAAAATTTAATTTGCGAAAGGATAATTTTAAGGGATTCATTTATATGTCGAAATTTAATGTTTTTTTTTTTTTTTTTTTTTTTTTAAGCAAGAGATTTAAGTTACCGAAAAAATCGTATGATATGTTTGAAAAGGTAGTGGGTATTTCTTTTTTTTTTTTTTCTTACAAGACTGTCACCATATTCACAATACACACACACACGCACACATGTTGTTTTATTGCGAATTTACTTATGTTATTTTGATGTACGTGTGTTTTTTTTTTCTTCCCTCTCGACACGAGGTTAATATATTATATAAAAATTTAAATATTATAGACTGTTTATTACGTATAATTATATAAATAAATAAATAAATAAGTTAAATAAATATTGCTACGCAGTATTTTGTGCCGTGTAAATAAAAAATAAAATATTGAAAAATAATATATATCTATATATATAAATATTTCACCAATTCATTCAATTTTCCTCTAAAAATCAATGAATAAATATATCGAAAATAATATAATATTAAATAGCGAGTTAACCTAAGCGATCATCGAACTTACTAATCTTTCATTCATCCTAATAACTTAATCTCTGATTCTGTAGGTCGATACTTCTTCAAGAAAAATAATTCTAAAGGGCTATTGGTGAGTCGATAAATCGTCACTAAATGAAATATTAATATTGAATGTCTTTTGTAACAGTAACCCTTGTTTAGTATAATACCATACTGTTATACTCGTCATCCAATCTATTTCGAATGCAACAGGTGTGCCTTTAGTGCGATCGATCCTAACCGTTGCACTATGTTTCTAAGTACATACATACGCACTTTGTCTCTACAATCTTACTAACGCATCAAATTCATCCATTGATATCAATGAAACTGTCTGTGTATGTTCTTCGACTGTTAATTCAAACTCGTTTACGTGTTACGCTAGACTCCGTTCGAATATGGTGTATATATATATATATCATATAAAATACAGTAAACACGGTAATAGTGACCTAGTTTGGGAAAAACTATGTATAGTCACTGAATGACACGGTGGTGATAAGCGTTACAGGACCGTTTGCCATAACAGAACTTTCATGATGAAGCGAGTGCAACACAACAACACTTCCGTTCGTCGATTAGTCCCTCCCCCCTACTAATCTGATTCACGATTCTCTTTAGAAACTATATCAGTATATTCCATCAGATATTATTACCTAATTGTAGTACCTAGAGTTATTTAACTCTAACGATCGCATTACGATTTTTTAAGAACCACCGTAAACCTTATTTCTCGAATGACGTATTATAAGAATTTGACCTACAGTCAGAAATATCTTTTCTTCGTACCCATCATCGTGGACTTCTTTTTCCCAAGATTATCCGGATTAATTTCAAGATCGTGAAAATTGCGTAAAATTTTATTCTCCAATTTCAATTCTCGTTTCTTTCGACCCAGCATCATTGGAATCATCATTGCCATGGTTGCTGGTAACATTCCTGTCGTCATAAATCATACTGTAAATTATAAGTTAGGCTAGTAAATAATAAATTGTATTAATATGTGCATTCACACGTGATGACTAACCTGCTCCAACTGCCGCGAGAACCGCTGAATTCGAGACTTGTCCGCCTTTCAAGGTATTCCTGATCGGTCTTTTTCTCAATATGCTCGGTAACGTCGTCAATCTGTCTCTCTCGTATTCCTTCCGACTCTGATCCACGCTTTTGAAAGTCTTCTCGACTTCCAAGAGACCTCCGTGCGACGTTGTTGTGTTGGTGCCGTTGATTGACGGTAACACCGTCAACCTGACCTAGGTAAGCCATATTTCATAAAGTAACTGTCGGATAAATCGATCGAATAAATAATCTTTCTCTCTGTTTACTTTCTAAATAAGGTATCGTAATATTTCAACTATAAAACTCGTAGTACATTTGCATCCAGTCGATATAATAACAAATCATCATTAATCATTAGCAATAAAAGAGAGATTCATAATAACCGGTTAGAAATATTCATTTAATTTGATCACTTTCTCATAGATATTGATTCATTTAATTCAATAATTCAATATAAATTTTATACGAAATATCTCTTTAAACTTCTAGCCTAACCTGTCTTTTTGATGTCATAACGGGAACAACTGCATCGTTGTCTTCCTCTTTCTTGATTGATTTCGTTTTAGTTCCGTTCAATAGTTTGATCAGTTCGGGATTCAACGTGTCTATTTTGATAGATCTTTGACGAGATTTGGAATATCCTCTGTTCGTTGATAAGAGAACCCATTGTCCATCTCCATTAGCTGGATGAGAAGGTGGATGATTGTTACCGTATTGATAATGAGAAAAATTTGGTCTATCGTTTGGTCTTGGTCTGTCCAAAGATTCTGTTCTTGGTGGAAAATCGTGCCAATCGTTATTACCATCATCAGCATGATTGTTTTCAGAATATCTGTCTAAAAATGGATAGGGTCTGTTGGACGATTGAGGTTTGTTGTTCCATGTATTGGGAAAGTTGGTAGGTCTGTCGTCTGTTATGATATCGGTTGGTCTATGAAGATTAGAAGTATATTTGTCCCAAGATGGCTTCTCAGGTGGCCACTTTTGTGTTTGACTCGAAACTTGATCATATTTGTCTGGATAATAAGATGGACGAGATGATGATGATGGTTTTTGCCATGGTTTATCATTGTTATTCTCTTGCCAATAAGGTTTCGGTTTGTCCTGCCTAAATTTTCAATTATCATAAATAAATATAATTTATACAGAAAATGATGAATTGAAGACAAAATGTGTAATTACCAAGGTTTGTTATTTTCGTAAGTTGGTCTGGAAGAATAATCGGAAGTCCATGGTTTGGTCATGCTAGGTTTTTCCCATGGTTTTATCTCTGGCCAGGGACGTTGAGTACTCGGATTTGCTTGCCACTTTGAAATTTTACTTTTAGACCATGGAATTGCATCGAGGGTAACCCAACCATTTCTATCATCGTGGGAGGCCATACCGTAATACTTATTTCTTTTTAATGTATCATTCAAAACGTCACTGAGCTAAAAATGATAATTATAACAAAAAATATTCAGGTCAATATATTCTTTGTAAATTTGTTTCTTAAACAAACAAAAATTAAAAGAAGTACTTACTTTGTCCTCGTTTAAAGTAGAATTGATAGGATCCAATGTGGATTTTTCATCGTCAAGGATAGTAGTCGAAGAATCGGTAGTCGACTCGTCAACTTCAAGAATTAATGGGTCCACAATTGGTTTGGACAATTTCGATGGAAGTTTGAAGTCTTTTTCCGTAGAACCTTTTATTTTATTAGCATAATCCTCGAGAAACTTGTTGAGTACATCAGGATTGAATGTTGACGTTTCGAAAGAATTTCTTCTGTTATATTCCGAGGTCAAAGCGTCACGAATCATTCTTTCATCGTTGTTTCGTTGATCGTTTTTTGTCTCATCGAATAACGGGCTTTGAGTTATTGCAATGGGCTCCTGTGGTATTCGTAAATTTTCATTTTTCGTTTTGAACAGTTCAGATGCGTTGGTTCTCAACTTAACAAAATATCTTGTATCGCAATAAGAACCATTTAGGATGAAAATAAAAAGTAGTAAACAGATCGTTCCGTTCGTGATCTTCATCTGTGAAAAAAAGAGAGAAAATTATATATAATTGTAACAAATTTATAATTAGTTCAACTGATAACAGTAATTTGATTAAATCCTTGGTAACACTGTTTGTCACTGACCGTGTCGATGAGGAGAGTGGGTGGTGTCGTCCAATGTAAACGATGCGTTCCAACGAAGATGATAATAGGACGAATTTAATTACATGAATAAAACGAATCCTTTCTGTCGAGTGTTAAAGTTAGAATAAACCGTTATAGTCGGCAGCCACGGTACTGTACACACTAGTTGAGTATAGTAAGTACGTAAATAAGTAACAGAGTCWGCAGAAGAAGAAGGAGGAGGAGGAACAGCAACAGTAACAGCAACAGGAGGATAGAAAGAAGAGTAACAAAGAACGACCTCGCCTCTTCAAGGTCCGTGATGGTTCTGTTACTGAGAGGTTGGCCTCCTTTGCTTTTAATCCAGGTCCCCACTTCGGATGTACTTGGTCCATTTTACATCTCTTTCTCGACCTGCCATTCTTAGATTTATTTGTCCTTGTCTAACCTGGTCACTGAGGAAACGGATTCGCGTCTCCTATCTTCTATCTCTCCTATCTCTTTCTTTTTCATATGTTACAACTAAACATTTCTCCTTTCATCTTGTCTTCTTCCACATCGTTCAACTAATATCATTCGTCGACAATAGGATATAAGAACGAGAACCCAATGAACCGAGTAAATCCAATTGACCGTACAACTGTCCTTCCTTCTCATCGTAAAAAATATTTATAATAAATTTACATAAAAATATCGAACCTATCTAGGTTCTATTTATCGGTTGAATTTCAAAAAAAAAAAAATGTATCCATAACACGCGGTGAAAGAGGAAGAAAAAGAAGAAGAAAGACATTCGTCATGCACTAATTACACCGGTCACCCGTAACAATCACGCACCTTCGCGACAAACCTCCTCCTCCTACTCCTACTCCTACTACTCCTTTTCCTCTTTCGTTACTTCCTTTCACAAATAATAATTGTTCAAATTAAAATAGTCCCAAAAAAAATTTCTTTTTATCTTTTCACCCTAAACAAAATAATTAAACTTTCGCTCATTTATACACATAGAAAACTGGGTCTACTTGAGATTGAAATTTCTTCTTTTATTTCCTAGTATTATTTTTTTTATTTCTGGTATCGTCTATTATTCCAAAATCAGTGTAACAAAAAGGTGGATAGTCAGAAGTTTCGGAATCATAAGTTTGTAACGAGAGTAACATAATTGAAAAGATAATCCTAAGATTTAGGACACACGACAGGATAACTGGAGATAGACAAAGAAGGTTGATGGTGATTTTCATGGTCGGTAAATTACCAATTTGACCTCCTTCGATGTACTACGCACTATCGTCGGATCATCGTTCACATTTATGTCTTAAGTCCCATTGGGGAAAAGAAGC